CTATAAACAGAGTAGCAATTATTTGGTTATTCGGTTATAGTAAAATAAACATGAGGGACGCCTTTTTAAATTTTTTACTGATACTCTTATGTCAGGAACTGAACTCAAATCGCAAGCTGAAAATGTCAGCAGTTTTATCAATCAGCCACTGGTAAGTAACCTGGGTAGCGAATTAACATTTAAAATTGCTAGGATAAGGTAGAAAAACAAAATTATAACAATCTCATCTTACCTAATGATAAAACTATTTTAAATGTAATGTGTAGGCAAGTTAAAAAAAGAGAGCTTATGTCAACTGAAACAAAACTATCAATAAAATTCGGTAGTAATAATTCTGAATGTTTGACAACTTGCAAGATTCAACAAAAATTATCAATAATTATATGACAGTGACAATACTATAGTAACATGAACTTAATATTAAACTGCGTATGACTATAAAATAAACTAGCCTATAGTAATAGTGCACTGGTTTCTAAAACAATGCGCATTGCGATTTGGATAGCTTAGATTTGGATTGACAGCTGACTGAACCTTTTCGTAATGCGAGATTTCAATGCTTATAGGCCGCTGTGGGGAAGTAAAGACACATATCCTCGGGGGAAGACAAATTAAGCAAATTATCGAAGCAATAATCGACAAACAAATGGTTGCCTTTGTCTCCTCAAAAATGGATAAGATACCTACTTCCACAGGCATACAAGGACATTTTAGGCATTCGATATTGCGATATGTTGACAGATACTTTTGTCCTTTTGCACATTTAGTGTAGGGAATTATCTTTATAATATAGATCCTTTCCCAAATTAAATATCTCTGTTCCGAAAAGAGGTAAATCCCATGTCGAGATCCCCTCGATTTATACCAGATAAGGCAGACTGGGAGCTCTTCTCATGCCTGGCAGAGATCTCTGAACAAGTAGTAAAAGATCTGCCTATCGATGATGCGGTGAAAGCGTTTACTGATAGCATTATTCAGGCAGCTACTACCTCTATACTTATGACCTCAAGAAAGTTAACAAAATTTCCAAAACCATTGTGGAACTCTGAATATTAAGAGACTAAGAAACTTTCAGAACACACAAAAAAGCATGAAGTGTCTTTCGTAGGTACTCCAATTTGCCAAAACTTTACCCTTCAAAAATGCGAAAGCACATGCAAGAAAAGTTAGGAGCAAAAGTCGAAAGGATTCATTGGCGTGTTACGTGCCTGGAATTTCATCCTCTACATTTAGTAAACGAGCATGAGAAAGGGTTAGAAAAGCATGCCGACTGCATAAAGACCACTCTTTTTCCACTCTGGAAAAAGACTAATCCAATTGCAGAAGAAATAGCGAATACCATAAGTGATACCTCTGCTGTTGTTTCAAACGGCAGCGATCATCCACCTGCATTTCTTTGTGCCAAGCATCACTTCCAACTCGGAGCATTATAACGGCAGATGGTCCAAAAGCAACTGCCCATGTTGGAACAGCCTTTGTAACTGGTGATTGTATGTAGGGCAGATGTTTACACGATTATTGCTCTGTTTTGATATCTGAACTAACTGCCATATATTATGCACTTTTCTTCATATCTCAGGAATCCCAGAAAAAGTTTATTATTTATAGTGACTCGTTTAGTGCACTGAAAGCATTAGATTCTCGTTCTGATACACAGAATCGAGTTCTTGTTCAAGTCCTAAGGCTAAACCTAAATTTAAAGAATCGTATTTATCATATACTTTACTGGTGGGTTCCTGGGCATGCAGGCGTAAAAAGAAATGAACTGGCAGACATCACAACAAAGTCAGCTATTGAACTGTCTAATCAACTTGCCTCTTTGAGAGACATCAGCATCGTCATCAAACAGAAGATACTGACTAAGTGGCAACAACTTTGGGACTTTCAAATAAATAATAAATAGAGAATTGTAAAACCCAGAGTAGAATTTTGGGAGGCTAGTATCGGCTGGAGGAGGTTCTTTTAGTTCGTCTAAGGATTGATCACTCTCGTGTTACACATAATTATCTTTTGAAAGTTGAAAGTCGAGAGTGAGCCTCTTTGCTCAAAATGTAATGCCCATCTAACGGTGCGTCACATTTTAGAAGAATCTGTACATTTTAAGAGTCTTCGTTTAAATTATTTTAATAGCTCTGACTTATAACGGCAGTCTGACTTATAACGCTTAATCGGAAAAGAGGTAAAATTTAATCTGTTTCGCTCTTTGAAAGAAACTGGCTTTTATTATTTAATTTGATTGTTTTTAAGTTCCTTAATTTGTTTTTATGTGTTTAATGTATTGAGATTTTACCTGGTTTAAAATTTAAATTGAAAGTGACAATATGTTTAAAATCAGTGTGTTATGACCATGTGTTTTGCGCATCATAACCTTTTAGGTTTTGAGCCATTAATCACAATCAATCCGTCCACATCCAACCCTAACTATACGATTTCCTAGATTTAACCTGTGCTGTCGGGCATATGAACAAAAGGTAAGCAACTTTTGCTATCTTTATCTTCGTATTTATCTGACACGAAGAAGATTCTAAGAAGATCTGTGTAAGAAATTTCTGTGTAAGGGATTCATGAAGGCTAAAATATTCGAAAATGTAATTAGATTGGAGTAGAATATATTTTAATATGTCTTTTTTGGTTCTTTCTTTAAATATATGTATATTGGCAATGGTTTCCTTGTGTAAAGTTATAGCCATTTTTTACAAGATTTCGTTGATAGGAAAATGTATTAGCTAACAAGAGAAAATGGAGAAATCAGTAAACTAAAAACTTTTCTATAGTATGTGGTAAACTCATCAATAAAAAATTTCTGTTTTGAATAAATGTCTTGTGTGATGCAAAAAAAATAATCTGTATCTATGTCTTTATAAATATTTAATACAGAATATTATTATTCGCATAATAACCTAAAAATCTTCCTTACAATATTTCATCGTTCCTAAATCGAGTAAAAAATGTCAAGTGTATTTCTTAATGATTTCGAAATACTTATGAAAGAAACAGCAAAATTGAGAAATCTTGAGGAGTGCTTGCCCTTACAGTGATTCTGGGCAGAATGATGGGTTACTTGAAGAAGTATGCAAATCCTATTCTTAAACAACTTGTAGCTATATATTGGCCATTTTAATTCATAAAATTTGTAGTAAGAGAAATTATGAAATATACTGTATGCGAAATCGGCTAATGAATGAAATTAGTATTAAACAAAGTTCAAATAAAAGGATTAAGAAGCGTTAATATCATTTAATCATTAGAATTAAAAGTAAAAACGGCTAAAATGATGGCAGAGTTGCAATTAAATATCAAATTTTGAAGAGATGCAACTGAGTGAAACCATTGAAAAATGGAAATTCACTTCTGGTTCGGTATTGAAAATTTTGGCTTAAAGAATTTCTTTGTACATGTGAAGCAAATAGTTGCTAGTTTCTCTAACAGGAAGGTAGATATAGCCGTAATTAGAGCAGGAAAAAGGTAATTAGGTAAGATTAGATAGCCAGTGCGCATTAAATTCAAAAATAATGATATAAAAATAGAAAATTGGCAAAAAAATTGCTGAATTAAAAGGTATTAAATAAATAGCAGTAAGAAAAAATGTTCTGTTTGAGTAATGCGATAGAGTGAATGTGGTCCTAAAATTACAGATGAAACTTTGCGATTACGGATGCGAATTTGTTATAATGTATCAAATACGAAAATGCATCAAGCTCATTATTAAAAGGTAATTGCAGTTAATTGCATCGAAACTAAGCATTGCTGTTTCTCCAGAATGCGGCAAAATCCGATTTGGATTTATTTTTGTTACCTCCTACACAAACAGTTATCGAAATAGGCCAGTGGGTTGAATTTCATCCATTAATCAATGTGCTGGAAGGAAGTTCTGTGAAATTCAATGTTTCTGGAAACGAATACGATGACTTATCACAGACACAACTGTATGTCAAAGTGAAAATTATAAAAAATGATGGAAAGCCAATCACGGCTGAAAGTAAAGTGAGACCTGTCAATCTGTTTTTACATTCTATGCTTTCTTAAGTGGATATCAGGTTAAATGAAAGACTCGTTTCCACCAGTAATAACACGTATCCCACAGAGCCACGATAGAAAAATTACTGAATCATAGTTTTGATACGAAAACATCTCAACTCTCATCAGAATTGTTTTTAAAGATACAGCAGGAGGTATGAATGTTTTTGAGACTCAAGACACCCAACCGAATGAAGGATTCAACCAACGAACACAAATGTTTAAACTGAGTGCCTAGGTCGACATGATTGGTCGATTGCATTTGGATATGTTTCATCAGCAACTACTTTTACTGAATATGGTGGCTATGAAAATTAAACTCATACGCAGCAAATCTGAGTTTTGTTTACTGGGTGAAGGAGAATTTAAAGTTTTACTCAAACAAACTTCTTTGTTTGTAAGAAAAGTGAGAGTCAGTCCGAGTGTTGTGCTAGAGTGTTGTACACGCAGAAAGCCTAAAAAAGTCAACAGCCAAATATACCATTAATAGAGTGCTCTGCAAAGCGTATTCCATTCCAACTGGAAATATGAGTTTTATTCAAGACAATATATTCATAGGTCAAATGCCTAATCGCATTGTGGTGGCATGTGTCGATAATGATGCCCTTAACGGAAACTATTAAAGTATCCTTTTGAATTCAAGCACTATAATTTGAATTTTATCGGCGTTTATGTGGACTATCAACCGGTACCTCTTTAACCTAATTTTGACAAAAATCATTTTATACAAGCTTACCAGAATTTATTCATGAATGCGGACGATAGAGGATTTTACCTTTCAAGATTAGAATTTTCAAAGAGATTTTCTTTATTTCGCTTCGATTTGTCACCTGATCTTTGTGATGGCTCTCATTTAAATCTGGTTAAACACAGCAAATTAAGATTGGAAATAAAATTTGGGACTCCTTTACTACAAACTGTTTCGTGCATGCATTTAAAAGTGCATGCAGAGACGATAAGCTATCTGTCAGTATGAACGTCCCTTATGGTTGCTGCTGTACGATGTGGGTTAGTGCCCGGTCAATTCCTAACACCTCACTCTGGAACACACTATTATTGGTGTCCAAGTGACCTTTCCAAAGTGTTAGTGTATCCAGGTTTCGCAGGGCTATGTAGGCGCAGCTTGTGTTATCATCTATTTGGAAGCCATTTGTATAATAGACTAAATCAGCATCCGTTATGTTGGTATTTTGCTTGATATTAATGTTCACCCCTTTTCCCTGTTTCGATGGATGATCACATAGCCGGATCAACTTCTTCTCATATTCCGCTGGGAAATAATTATCCTCATGGAGGGTTGCTGGTTGGCCTAATTGGGCGACTGTTTGATAAGTCGCTTCTTTTTCCACACTAAGATGCAACGGTGGCAGACCGGTCAATACACATAGTGCTTTAGTTGGGGAAGTACGAAATGCCTTGGTAATATTCAGTAAGAACGGTCGTTGTATGCTTAGGAGATGTTTTATCTTGCGACCTTGCATAGGTAATGACCAAACTGCCGCCCCGTATGTAACAATTTTTTCAATTACTGTTTTATACAATACCTTCTGTATGTACGGGTTAAGGCCCCATTCGTGACCTTTCATGAACTTGAGTTGCTGAGCTATTCCCAGCGTCTCTTCTTCAGTTCCATAATATGTGGTATCCAATTTAGTTTGATATCAAATACTATTCCTAGGTATTTCAGTTCTTTTACAATTCGAAGTCGATGATTATTCAAAGTTATTTTTGGTTGTCTTGCGAGCGTACCTCCCTTTTTGGGAACTAGAAGTATTTGTGACTTTGCTTCAGATATCTTGAGTTTAATTTCTGCACATCTCTGATGAAATAGCGAGCAGGATTCTTGGGCGTTGGTCTGAAGTTGTTCTCTTGTTCTACCCCGAACGATGAGTGCAGTATCATCGGCATACGCAATGATGCGCGTGTGCTCTGGCCACGTGTTGGTTAATATACCATTGAATGTTATATTTCAAAGAAAAGGCCCAGCACACGAGCCTTGCGGGCATCCTTGATTTTGATTTTGCACTACCATACCACTATTATGGGGTACTATTAGCAATCGGTCAGAAAGGTAGTGTTCCAAAGTAAGATAGATATTTCTTGGGCATTTAGGTAGGCGCAGGGCTTGAAGAACCGCTGGACACCACAGCGTGTCAAAAGCGCTTTTTAAGTCGATGGAAATAAACGCTGTGTGTGATAGCCAGCAGACCTATTTTCTAGAATTTGATTCTTAACTTCTGTAAGCGCATGCAAAGTAGACTGTCCTGGTACTAAACCCATATTGTATTGGGCTTAAGTATTTCGTAACATATAGATGATGCCGCAATCTTGTCATGATCAGCTTTTCGTAAACCTTCCCCAAAGCTGAAAGCAGACATATTGGACGGTACGACTCTGGAGACGTTGGATCTTTATTCTTTTTCAAAAATAAGACCACTTGCCCAATTTTGAAGCTGTTAGGGAATGTCCCCGTTTGCAGGAGCTTATTGAAGAGTGATTGAAATAGAGTTACATTAGTGCTTATAATTGCTTTAATAATTCGGTAGTCAATACCATCCGGTCCTGGTGCTCTGCGCTGGGGAAGCTGGCGCAGCACTTGCTGAATCTCCCTGATGGTGAAGTAAGGATCATTTGATGTAGCAATTTCTGAGGGCTGGTTCCTGATTGTGGTCTGTTCTAATGTGTCTTCGTGCAGATTGTCTGTGGTGAAGACTACTGACATGATTGCCTTTATTGTATCTTCTGTATATTGGCCAGTACTATTGGGTGTTGGCAATATACGAAGACATTTCGAAAAGTAAAGATACAATGGCTCGCATTCCTTAAAAAAACATTTATTTAGAAAACGTTAGTTTCATCTTATTAACTGGATTATTTATTATTTTTCGACATAATCACCACCGTTATTCAAACATTTGTTAAGTCGGTGCACAAGCTTTTGTATCCCACAGTCATAGAAGGTTGCCGCCTGCTGGAACCCAGCGCGCACACAATTTCCTGTACCCTAACTTGACAGTCACAACTTCATAAAGAGTTGTCGCTGACACATCCTGTATGATCTGATGCAATTCTTTCAATTTGAGACGTCTATTCGTACGAATTGCTTCCTCTGTTCTCTGAAGAAGGGCATCAGAGATGACAGATGGCCGACCTGTTCTTTGTTCGTCATGAACATCTGTCCCACCTTCAGAGAAATGACGACACCATTTCGTTACATTTTGTCGATTCATAATGTTCCCATACACAAAAACAATTTCTTTGTGAATATCCGATGGTCGCTGACCTTTTGCATGAAGAAAACGTATGACAGAGTGCACTTCGCATTTGGCGGGATACTGAATCGGCGTAGCCATTTTAAACACGACCTACTCCAACCAGAATCAACGTTGAAATGCCGAACGACTGCGAGGAGAAAGCTAACGGTTCAAGGTTAACACCTGTGTTGCCAACTTGCTCACCAAAACTTTTCTTTCCCTCTGGCGTACGGTATATCTTTACTTTTCGAAATGCCCTCGTATGTAAGGTGGCTGGTTTAAAAAGTTTTCCTGCCGCAATCCTGTGGTTGATTCCATAGGTGTTTCTGTACAAAACTTTCTCCAGCTGCTAATTTTTGCATCTAAGATCTTAAGTTTGTAATATGCTCGCTCTTGTTGGTAGATCATTAGTGTTGTGGCTTTTAGTTGCTGCCTACGTTCTTGTTTGAGGCGTCGGCGCAGAGCACGACATTTTTGCTGTTGAACAGACAGTGCACTAAAATGTAAATTTAAGAACGATTACCATCTAACCTGCAGACTCTCCAAAATGCTTTAATTATTATAGACGATTTGATGTCTGAATTAGCAAGTGCGCTTAAGCAAACTTTTTATAGAAGGAAGTCATCACCGAAACCTTTCAATTATTTCTATAACACAAAATCTTTTTCACCAAGACAAGGAGATGAGAAATATTCATTTAAATTCCCATTATCGTGCCTTAATCAAAAATCCTAGATATAGAAGTAAAATTATGCATTTAGCTAGACAAATGTTCCCCGGAAAAGTAAAGGCCTTTCAAGAAATTTTTCAGGATGCTACTTCAACTTCTTTTGGCTACTTGTTGATTGATTTACGACCTGAAAGAGGTGAAACCCTTCGCCTTCGCACAGGCACCTTTCCTGGGGATAAATACTACGTCTACTAGCCCCGATAGTTCATTTCAGTTCGAGACGTCGAATGACTAATATGTCTTCTCCCATCCTGATCGATTTCGAAGGCTTTCAATGGATGCCTCATTGTTACATTGTTAAAGAATTAGCTTTTTACTACGTGTATGAAGGATACCATAGTTGCTGGTCATTTTTACCCCCTCAACCTTGTAAAACATTATCAGTCTCAGCAAAAGCGTTTTGCTTGGGTAACAAGAAATCGTCATCATATGAATTGGAATGAGGGTATATTCCCTTATACTCATTTTCGTATTATTTTACAATATTTGTCATCGAATCACTCTGCCATATACGAAAAAGGATTAAAAGAGAAATTATTTTTAGAAAATTTATTATGTAGAGACATCATAAATCTGGACTGTCCTAAGATAGAAAATTTAAAAAAATTTCTTTAACATGTTCGATTCATGCAAAAGGATTTAATTGCTGTGCTTTAACCAAAGCGGCTGCATTTGCTACCTATGTAAAAGAAAGTGTGCAAGAAGAAGAGCTCATTTGTCATCAGAATGTCTCATCTGAAAGATGTGGATTACCTAAAACTGTTAGGAAAAAGTCGAACAAAAGCAGCTGTACTGAAAAAGTGTCCGAATCATCTCATCAAATCAGTTTGCGAGTTGTTTTAAATCTTCTAAAAGGAAACAACGTACCCATCACCAAACGAGTCAAGAATTGACTCGTCCGTTTTAAAAGAACTTTGAGGAAATAAGCGGACAAAAAAGTACCTCTTTTTAAGAAAAGACGTCTTTTGGTTCAAAAAGGGACGGTTTTCTATCTTTCCTAATCCCTGCAGCAGTATTCGATCGCCAAAGCGAGCGAATATATAGGCGATGTGCAAGAAACAAATACGCTGATTGGTTGAAATAGAATAGGTACTGCTAGCGAGATGCTAATTGGTTGTTAAGACTGTATACACCTTCCTTGGAACCCCAGAAGCTGTGATTTGGTTTCGGCATGCTGGAACATGAATAGAGATGAAGTTTATTGGCGATAGCATGTGTCCCCAACCTAGTGAAGTCATGATGGTTTCTGCTTCGCAAAGTTCAAACGGATAAAAAGAATGTCAAATAATAGGACTCAAGAGATAAAGCATAGCCTTGCGTTAACTCTCAGGTCTCACATCTCAGAGATGGCGAGTTTGAATCCCAGCCGTAGAGTTATTTTTAAAACTCGTGCAATTACATAAAATGCATTCATTTAAATTAAAATAAATAATGGAATCAAATTAAAACTATTTAAATAATTAAAAATAATGATGGATTAAATAATTAAAATTAATGACTTACTAGATAATTAATATTAATCACATATTAAATAATTAAAAAGATACCATTTCAAAACACGTGGTTCAAGATGTGGTTGCCACGAACATAAAAAAAATTTGTCGCCACAAAAATAAAAACTTTGAAAACATAAGGTCGTTGCCACACAATAAAAACGAAACTACACATGACATCATTAAAAACACGGTTACATCACTTCCGGGTACATCCAATATGGCGCCGTCACATCCGGCTGTCACGTGATTCAAGATGGCGGTGGTGGCACATCAAAGACACACCCATTGCGTCATCTATTGTTCTTTTACGTCATCTATTATTCTATTTGGTGATGGCGGCAACATTTGGCCGCGTGGTTATCTGCGGTTACTACTCCCCTCCTCCTCACCTGCTAAAATGAAAAACGAAACGTTTGAAATGTTTTCAGAGCGCGGAGCCTCATGGATCTGCTTGGAGACGAATTTGGAATCCCCTAACATGTGATTGACAGATATATGGCCTATGATTCTAAAAATTTTGGCGGGATAATCCCTTTCATAAGTAGGTCAAGACATAAGGCCACTTCAAGGTCAATTTGATTTTCACTGTTCATTGAAAAAGTAGAATTCGCGAGGTCTGGTTCTATGGCATTATTAAAACAAATTTTGATTTTCACTGGACCCTTAGAGAGTTTGTTTGGGAAAGGGGATTTATTCAAAATTATTAGTTCTCTTTCCGAATTTTTAAACATATTACTCTCTATCCATCGACAAGTAAATCAATGTATTCAAGCTCACCCCTACGCACATGACTTGGCTTATCCTGAATTCCTGATAGGGCATTTTTCCGTTCGTCGCACGAAGCTTCATTCCTTTAAAACGTTTCGGACAGTCATGTGCGAAATGGAACGAATCACCTTTGCTACTACAAATGTAACAAGTCCTGTCGGCTCTATTCTTTTCGTTCACAGTATTACGTGTTGACTTCTGTGATTATTTGTTCTTTTTTAACACTGTATTTCTGAAGCTAAGTCTTTTGTTTTATATTTATAGTTAAGCCTAAATTATATAGTTTAAGCCAGCCCTCACCTTGTTTAATTCCAATATGACACTTTGTTTAAGAAACT